TATAGAAGTAAAATGTGACAATGCAGCTCAAGGAAAGGAATGTCCACATATTTCTATGGGTGGAAGTTAACACAAAGACCTGAAGGAATGTAAGCATCCTGAACATAGTTCACAGAACCATCACGAAAAAGAAAAACATCTGTTCACGTCACAGCCGTTTGGCTGTGGATTTTAGAGTCTAAAGACAGAACCAAAAAGAGAAAGATAAAGTAAAAAAAAAAAAAGACCAAGGACAAACGCTACTGTAGTGATTGAGCGCCTAAGAACCAAAGATAGACATCACAGGCTGGCAGAATAGCAGTGAGCAGGGACAGAAATGTGCGTGAGGCAGAGCAGTGTGGCATCACAGCTTGGGATTTGAAAGTCAAAGCTGACTGCTGGCAGTCCGAGGTCACTGTGTAAATCCACTGGGTGGGCAAGGCAAGCTCATGCCTGCTTTCAGCACGGACAAGAGTGAACGCTTCATAAAAGCAAATAATGCGCAAGAAAAGCTGGGTAGAAACTCAAGCTCACTCTCGTAAATGCATTGTAACACAATCTAAACAGAAATCAAATTCAACATCAGTCTCTTTTTGATTCGGTCAAGGTAACCCCTTTAGGTATTTTTCTAGCTAAACCATGGAAGTCTATATATCCATTAGCATTCTTATTTATCTCAATGACAGTCATGTGGTTGGTGCAATACCCTATTCCATCGCAGAATTTCTCCCTTTCTTGCCAAAGGCATTTTTATGTGTACTTTATTAAGTACTTGTGTATAAATGAGAGAAAAACACTTTATGGTATATTTAACAATCATTTTCAAGATGGAAAAATTAATAAATTTTAATGTACATACAAGCTAAAATAGTCAAATTAAACTTAAACTGAAATGATATTTCCTTTGTTTGGGTTTTGTTTTCAGTTAGCAAGTTACCGGCTTAATTTACTAGCTTAGAGTAACACTAATTGAAAAGTAAAATCAGGCACTTATACAACAAGACAAAGGCATTAACAAACACAACATTAAAAAGTTACCATAGTTTAAAAACCTGTAATATTAAGTTAATACCGAGCGGCAACCTCCCGCTCTCTCTCGTGAAGCCAACAAGGAAGTGACTTAAACTGTAATTCATCAACTGGCCGCTAGAGGCTGGCTGCAAAAGGGAGTCAGTCCCATAGACTCCCCATGTTAAAATGCCCAAATTTACAGCAGAAAAAAACATGTTTACAGCCTGGTTCAAAAAATGATTTTGGTCTATATAGCTAATTTTGCCCTTCATGACAACTGTGAGGGGGTGAATTTTTTTATAACTCATCCGTTTAAATTATATTAAGCCTTAAAATTCTGCATAATTAAGGGCGTGGCCACTTGAGTGACAGGTGGATTGCCGCTGCTGTCTCTATCAGCCGCTGAACTTGGCATCTCTGCTGTGTTTCTGCTTTTGTTTTATTCAGTCTATGGGTTATTTTCGGGATTATTTCTTAAAATTATCAAATAAAATGTCTTGTTGTGCGGTTAATTGTACTAACGGACCGTCCAAGTCTGGGATCATTTTTTTCCGGTGAGTGATATTGTAATGTAATTTTATTTATTAATTTATTTATTCTTTATAATTTTATTCAAAACTCAACTAAACTCCAGAATCCGACAGACTGTGATTAGCTGTAACGTTAGGCCTGTAATTAACGTTACTCGTTAAGCGTTTTCCTCCCATAGAAAACCGTTAGGCTATAAGAAAAACTCTTAACGTGGCTTAATGAATTAAAACCGATGAAAACTGTTTTTAAAAGACGAAACTCAGTGAGAGCATGATTAATAAATCATACTATGTACAGACAAGCACTGTTTTAATGCATTAACCCATGTAAGCGTTTTCCTTATAACGGTTTTCTATGGGAGGAAAACTCTAAATGCGCGTTGCGTTCTTATCCTGGACTCATCTGCTTGTCTGTACATAAGTATGATTTGTTAATAACGTGTTTTCTGAGTTTGGTCTTTGAAAAACACTGTCTTAATGCATTAAGCCAAATTAAGTGTTTTAAAATGTCCCGAACAGAATGAGGACTGCAAAGTAGTCTGTGAAAAAGGTAACCATCTATTTGTCTGTGTAAAGTTTTCCTCTAGGTGATCCAGACCCTCTCAGACTAGACCAGTGGATGCTCAAGTGAAACGACAGAATTGGACTCCTAAAATGGCTTCTCGTCTGTGCAGTGAACACTGAGCACCTCCGCGCCACCCACGTCCCGCCTCTTTGCCCATTTTCGATTATCCGGGAGTGACGCGCTGCCAAGATGGCGACGACCGGCTCCGCCCACTGTGGGCTTCAAAAAAGCTCTTCAGAATTCAACGGGTGACGTCACGGACACTACGTCCATGTTTTTTTACAGTCTATGGTTAATACATACAAAAACACAAACCAACACATTCTCATCTGTGAAAGGTTATCCCATTTCTATGGGAATTTAAATCTCAGTGGTTTTTACAACCAGAGGCTGGGCAATGTGCATCTTGGAAGACTGATTTTTACTGTGAGTGACTGTGAGGTTGACCGTTCTAAGATGGCTGATGTGTCGATGCGCCTGGAGCGGTCAAATGTGGCATCTACGTATACATAGCTATGCTTGTAAAATATTCCACTAC